GTCCCTGTCCCTCCTGGACGCGATCCTGACTCTGAGAAGCCCTTTCGAGCCGCGCCCGCTCGGAGACCACGACCCAGCCGGGCCTCACTAGAAAGATCCGTCGGTATTTCCGGCCGTCCCTGTGACACCTGGAGGGCCCTCGCCGCCATGGCGGCATTCGTCTCGAACACCTCGACAAATTGCGCTTTAGGACAGCAAGAGCATCCAACACACACACAAAGAACATTGGGGTACCCATCCCCGAACTTATATCTCGGTCCGACCGTATCAGGCATTGGCTCTGTACTCCTGAAAGCAAGCGTAGGACATCAGGCATCGGCCTTGAGGATGGGAGGAGGAGGAGGATGAGGAGGAGGAGGAGGAGGATGAAGAGGGAGAGGAGGACGACGATGACGAGGAGGAGGAGAACAAGGACCAGCCGACCAGAGGTCCTGGGAGGGTCGGCGCTACTCTCGCTTCACTCCTGCGTGGTGGGGGGGGGCACGGGAGCTGGGCCCGGTACTCTTTCACGGGCAGCCTGTGGCGTCCCCTTGCCAAACTGCGGGGAGGAGCAGGAGGAGGAGGAGGAGGAGGAGGAGGAGGAGGAAGAGGAGGAGGAGGAGTAAGAGGAGGAGGAGGAGGAGGAAGCGGAACAGGAGGAGGAGGAGGAGGAGGAGGAGGAAGAGGAGCACCACAGAAGGAGCAGCGAAGGAGTGTCGCCACCCCCCCTGGCGATCCTTACTCCTTCGCTGCTTACGGAAGAGGGAGGAGGTGTGGGGGGGGGTTGGTGCTGCCGCCTCGACTCCCTCCTGGTGGGCCGCGGGCGTCGTGGCTGGGACGCGGCAGCGGACTCGCTGGCGCGTGCGCAGCAGCAGGAACACCAATTGCGGTGTTGACAGACCTTCGGAGCAGCTCTCAGATATGGAGGCTGACGTGCCCCCCTGGGCGCGAAACTCCGCGGGCCCTCCGAACAAAAAGCAGGCACTGCACAAAGAGGGTTGGGGAGGAGAGGAGGGATGAGCAGGGCGAGGACACGAGGAGAAGCGGAGACAGACGAGGCACAGCTCGCGGGGTCTCTTACGGCACCATGCCATCCTTAAGCCACAGCCTCGACGTGGAGCCTCGTGCCGGTCGGGTCCCGGAGGGGTGTCCAGCCACCTGCTCCAGAACAGGTACCTATCGGTGAGATGCACGACCCCGCAGCACCCTCTGAGCCGATGAACTTGAGACTGGCAGCATGGCAGGAAACTGGCCAGACCGTCGGCTGACCCTCGAGTTCGAAAACCCTTCCAGCGCCAATGCGCTGCACGACGGCAGTCACGAAACCAAGGACCCCCAAAGTAGCCGCGCTTTCGAGCTTCTGCTGGGTGCCTTTCTGCTGAGCGCGCGCACGCTGCTTGGCAGGTGAGTCCACCTGCGCACCCTTCAAGCTCTGGAACGTGCTTTTGGGCTCTTGGCTTCTTTCTCCGCGAATTCCTCGAGACGCTGCTCCTCCCTCGAGTCGGAGACCCCTTGACTCGTGGCAGTAGCGGTGGTCAAAACGGCTTGAGATCAAAAGGCTATGGAGGAGAAGGAGGAGGAGGAGGAGGATCAGCAGCAGCAGTGCGACTAGAACGGGGAGGAGCGCAGCGTAGGAGGAACGAGAAGGAGAAGGAGGAGGAGGAGGAGGAGGAGGAGGAGGAGGAGGAGCCGAGGGAGGGAGGGGGAGAGGAGACAGGCGAGGATCAGTTGGGCTTCCCTTCTACTGGGCCCCCCCTTCTCTGGAAGGGGAAAGGCGAAGGCAGCCGATCTCGCTCCGCCTGGGTCCATTTCGGAGGGGGAATGCTAGGTGGGGACCAGCTCAGGTGGGGAAACCTCGACCTGCAATCGGCGGTACGGTGCCGATAGATCGGCGGCATGCCCCAGAAAGCGAAACCGCACGTTCCTGGGCGGTGCGGGCGATCAAGCCCCTGTCGGTGACCCTTGGGCGATAGGCGGGGTCCTTCCCTGAGCCCTATCACCGCCTCGCGTTGCCCCTGACTTGCCATCGCTCGGACGTCCATTCCCCGTGTACTTCTCAGTTCCGTGCGTGCTTTCTTCGCAGGCCGATCCAGGATGCTCCTCGGTGGTCGCCGCCGAGAAAAAGTGCACACGTCCGAGCGATGCCGAGCGGATCCCCTCCGGGAAAGACGAAGCGCGCACTACCCCACCTTCTGCAGCGCAGGTGCACCTCCCGGGCGCTCGAGAGGAGCTCGTGCTGTGGGCACCGGGGATCCGAGAAGCGTCTCCGCCGACGGGAGGGCCACTCTGGGTGGCCCGCGGCCCCCGGCGAACGAGGGACCATCAGGGCGGGCACGGCCTCCTGCAGGCGGATGCTGGAGGAGAGGTACAGCAAAAAACCCAAATGCCCCAGAATGATCAAACATCTACACATCGTCCCCAGAGCATTCTTTGACTACTTACCTGTAGATATTCCTCCTGTACAGGGACACATGCCCGACTTGAAGGAAGCAGCGCATCTTTGTGAACGCTTCGCGATCACGCCCGTTGCCGTGGACGCCCCCCCTCTCCCCCGCGCCCCCTCCCCCGCACTCCCCCCCCCCTGGCGACGTCGCCATGCGCGCCGGCGCGCCGCCTGAGAACGGCAGCAGGGGTGAGCGATTCCCAGGCGGCGCCGCCGCGAGTCGTGACGTTGCCAGCCTTCTCCCCCCCACCCCCCCCCTCCATCCATCCCCCCAACTACGGTCGCGGACGTCGTCGCGAGAGGATCGACGAGCTGGCTCAGGAGGAGAGCCAGCCACGAGAGGGTGGCCCTTTTGTTTCGGGCGCGAAGCGAGTGGCGCCCTGCAGCTGCGGGGCGGGAGCGTCCCGAGAGGGGCCCGAGGGGGCCACGGGATCTGGTCAGGCCTTCCCTGCTCGGCCGCCGCCTGGCAGGGCCACCAGGGGGTCCTGGGAGTCCCGTGCGGGGCGCCCCCGTGCACACCTCCGGGATCAGGGCGCCGGGGCTCTCGACCCCACCCCCGGGACAAGTTTTTCGAGAGAGAGAGAGAGAGGGGGGACGGGGAGGCAGCGCCGAGGAGAAGCACAGCGGGTACACCGCGCGGATACCAGCAGCAAGCCAACGGCGCGCTCCGCATCCCAGACGACAGCATCTTTTAAGACGCAAGGGGGGGATTCGTCCCCCTGACCCGGTTTTGTGATGGTCCCTGGGCCCGGGGGCAGCCCCCCAGCGGCTTGCACCGCAGAGAAAGAAGAGGCCCTTCGTAGGCGCTCGCCTGAGACCTCATCACCACCTGTGATGCCTGAGGCTTGAAGTTCGCAGCAGCTGCAGGGATGGATGAAGGGGAACTGGAACACACAAATAAATACACACAAATAAAGATATCCCCCATATTTTCCAATATTTTCTGGGTTTTTGTCTTCCCCACCACTTCCCATATTTTTGCATATTTTCCTGGGAGTCGACGATTAATTGTGTCTGTGTGTTTCTTTCCCTCCTGAATGGATGGGGCGTCGCTGCTCAGTGGAGCTCTCGTCTTGGCGCCGCGCACGTCTGGCTCCAAAGTTCACAGAGCAGCTTCACGGATTGAGAGGGGGGTCGTTTTCAAAACGGTGCTCTCTCGCCCGAGCGCCGCGCACGGGTGCCTTCAAAGGTTGGGGTCGCAACAGTTCCAAGGATGGAGGCCGGTTCCTCTTCTCGGCGGCGGGCGCGGGGGGGAAATGAGAAGGGGCGGGACTTCCGAGGCTTCTGAGAAGTTTCCGGACTTCTGAGAGGGCTTCTGAGAAGTTCAGTCTGTATTCGAAATAGGCTAAGGAGACCTCTCAGAAGTCCCCCGGACTTCTGAGAAGTCCCGCGGCCTTCTGAGAAGGCCTGCTCCTTCTCATTTCCCCCCTGGGCCCGCCGCCGATCTTCAAAATCGAATGTTCGCCTTGACGTAGCGCCCATTCGCCTTAAAGCATGAAGCCGTGACAAGAATGCTCCCTTCTCAAAACGGGGCTTTTGATGGAGTGCGCATATTGGGGCGTAGGCAGGCGCGTTCCGCTACCCGTAGGGCAGTCATTCGCAAGCAGCCTGGATCCAATGCGTCGAGTCAACGAGTCTCCCTTGCTTCGAACAACTTCTGTCTTTTTGGACGCTTGCGAGTCGGCACTCTGCGAGTCGATCCAGGACATCCGCGCGGACCTCCGGACGCTCCTGCTTACAGTGGAGGCCAATCCACAAGGAACCTTCCACAAGAAACCCAACCCTGAGGCTCCAGGACGTCCGTTGGCTTTCGGTGTGGGAGCGTCACGCCTTCCATGCCGAACCATGGAAACCCAAGACACCCAGGGCACCCTGGAGGCAAGCAGGGTGCTTCTTGGCATGGGCCCCCACTGCATGCAGACCCTCGTTTCCGAGGCATGGGAGACGGAGGAGACCGAGGACGAGGATGCCCAGCTGGCGCAGCAGGAGCAGCAGCCGCAGAAGGCCAGAGAGCAGGCGGGCGGGGGCAGCAGCACTTGGCCACCGCTCCGACGTCCACTGCCCCGGGCACTTCGCTCGGCTCCGCGCGTGCCCCTCTCGTCGCAGGATGATCCAGGCTGCTCCTCGATGGACCATCGAGGAGCATCCTGGACCATCCTGCGAAGAGAAGGCATCGACGCTGGTCCTCGCGAAGAGGAAGCATATCTTCTCGGTGGGGGCCGTCGACGATGGCCCTCGCCGAGAAAAAAATGCACACGTCCTGGCGCTGCCAGGAGTAGGGCCCAGAAACGGCAGAGAGACGAAAGCACCCGGAGGCAGACGACGATGACTGCTTGTGCGGAGCAGCAGCGGCGGCGGCAGCAGGAGGCGGCGGGCATCGCTTACACCCGGTCCACTTCCCCACCGGCGTGGCCCATTGGCTGTTCCCCTCGGGTCGCGCGGGGCCCGCCCCCACCCTGGGCGGGTGGCATGGTGGGGCTGCATGGCGGTGAGGGTATTGGATACGGAACCATTGGAGAGGGAACCCAGGGTCGGGAAGACGGTGAACTCCAATCGCGTATTGACCATGAATATCACCGCCGCCCTCCTCAGATAAGGACCCCTCCAGGGTCTGAGGCCTTCTCAGCACATTCCTTAACCAACGCCCCCACCGTACTGCGCCATGGCCCACTTGGAACGGGGATCGATGAGACGATGCCAAAGGCAGGAGTCGTGAGAGCGAAATCTTGCAGTGCGTGCAATCCCACGCATACGCGGTCCAAGCGCCGCCACAATCCCGCAACAGCAACACCGCTAAAAGTACACGCTAAACAGCGACCGGCTGCCAGTCTCCACCCGAGGCTCCTCTACTTCCCAGTCCCAGCCTGGGACGGGGGAGGAGGTCTGGGGATGCCTGAATCGCTAAAAAGGAGGAGCAGAAGGAAGGGCCTCCCAGGTCAACGTTTTCTTATTCGGCGTTTCGGCATTGGGCGGAAGGGGGAGGGAAAACCGGGGTATGGCTCTGGACCTCTGCTTCATGCGACTGTTTGCAACCGTGCGTCCTATGGGGGGGAGACTTCACCTGCTCGAAACAAGCGCCAAAAACAGCCAAGATCTACTCCATGGGCGGGGGGATGGGGGGGGTGCGAGGGTCCGCGCCGATCGGCAAGACAACGAATAAGAAAACGATCACCAGACATCCTCCGTCGTGAATGTTGCGTTGCGTGTGTGGCTCCCTCGAGGTCTGGACACTTCCCCCGGGACCGGTGTACCATCCTGAGTCGTTCTTGGACGGTCTAGTGGCCCGGGTAATTCGGCCTCCTGGGCGCCCAAAGTTGGCAAACACCCTCCGTCGAGTTGTTGTTCGCAGCGGGAGGATGTCAGGGATGGGGGAGGGAGGCAAGTGTAGTATTAGGTCGGGCGTGTCCCCCTACAGGCGGATTTTGGACGACAAATCAAACAAGAATCAACAAATGCGCCAAAAATTGTCAAACATACCCAAAACATCGACTCCCGATTCTTGTTTGACTTTTTTGAACATTCCTCCTGCCGAGGGACAGGCCCGACTGAAGTGTACTGGGCAGGAGGGCCATGAATGGCACCACCGCTGCCGCCGACCCGAGCCGCGTGCGGGCTCTCCTCCGGCGCCGCGCCGAGCCGCGCGCCCGCCTGGAAGAGGGCGTGAGGACGTGCGCGACAATCTCTCCGCGCTCCCCCTCCTCGCCATCGCTCGGACGTCCATTCCCTGTGTTTTTGTCGGTTTCGTGCGTGTTTTTTCGCCAAATGATCAAGGATGCTCCTCGATGGTCCTCGCCGAAGGAAAAATGCACACGTCCGAGCGATGCCAAGTCCTCTTCCTCCTCCTGCTCCCCCCTCCAGCTCCTTCCTTCCTCCTCCCGCCGTCTCCTCCTACCCTTCCTGCTGCTGCTCCTCCCCCCATCCCCTCCTGGCGCCCGCCCGCCCGCCCGGGCGGCGGGGGAGCAGGCATGGTATGGAGGCATAAGGTTATGTCGGGCGTGTCCCCCTACAGGGGGATGTTCGACGACAAATAAAACATACCCCAAAAATGCACCAAAAAGGTCAAACAAATACACCAAAAGTAGTCCCCAGACTATTTTGGGGTTATTTTTTAAATTATTTTTGTGGTATTTTTTATTTTTCGTCGAAAATCCCCCTGTAGGGGGACAGGCCCGACTTAAGCATAAGGGGGTCCTCGGGGAAAATGGGGCTCGGGGGCCCCCAAGCGGCGCGGTGACCACACCGTGTGGTGAGTCAGTGGAGATTCGGGGTGACCGCACGGCTGGGGCTCGGGTATGATTCTTCGAGCATGTCTCTGGCGACTGGGGCCTCAAGTGTTTCAACACCATGTGGTGACGGACCGTGCGGTGAGGCCTCTCGGGACTTCGGGTTCACCGCACGGTCTGTCAACGCACCGCTTTGGGAGCCCAGGTGGTCCTGGGGCCCAGAGCCCTTCGCTGGGATCAACTCTGTGTGCTGAATCTGTCTTTGTTGATGGCCAATTCCAGAAACCCTGAACCCAAAACTGTTGCTATCTCGCGCGTCCGTTAATTCTGCCAGCCTTCCGCCCGCGGAGACGCCCCCGTTTTACTTCCGCCTGTGTCCGCCCACCTTCCTCCGCCGTCCGCCGAGGAAGAGATGGCAACTCCTGAAATCCAGACCGACGCCGACCCCCAGAGGTCTCGACCCATTCCCCATGACCGGAGTCCCATCCCGAGCCGCTTGTTGGCGGCCCCGAGGCCCAAGAGAGGCCGAACGTGGCGAGACACACCTCCCGTCATGACTCTCTCCTGGCCCGCGGGGGTCTGGGTCCCGAGCGTGTCCTCTTAGAGGGGGACAAACAATGACATGAACATAAAAAAACTCGGAAGTCCGCGCGGATTCCTTGGATCGGCGCTGGACCCCCGGAGCGCGCTACGGGGGGGCGCCGGAGGCGCCGCCGAGGGGGTCCCGGCGCCGAGCCGACCCCCTCGGCGCAGCCCCCCTCGAGACCCGCCCGCCTCACGGCGACGGGGGTGCGCGCAGCGTGCGGCCGCCGGCCTAGCGCTGCACGTCGGAGGCGTTGGGCTCCCAGATGCCCTCCTCCGCTCGGCGGCGAGCGAGACGGCGACGACGAGGCCAGGGAGGGAGGGAGGAGGAGGAGGAGGGGGAGGAGGAGGAGGAGGAGGAGGAGGAGGAGGAGGAGGGAGGAGGAGCAGGAGGAGGAGGACGAGGAGGGGGGAGCAGGATGAGGAGGAGGAGGAGAGGAGGAGGAGGAGGGGTAGGAGTAGGAGGAGGAGCAGGAGAGGAGGAGGAGGAGGAGGAGGAGGAGGAGGAGGAGGGAAGCGAGAGAAGGAGAAGGCCCTCGCAGAAGGCGGCGGGGCTTCTCGCATAGAGATGATCAGCAATGACATGAACCATAATAACTCGGAGGTCCGCGCGGATTTCTCGGCTCGGCGCCGGGGCTCCCTGGCGGCGCCTCCGGCGCCGCCCCTGGCCTCCGCGCGCCAGGGGGGGGGGGTCCAGCGCCGATCCAAGAAATCCGCGCGGACCTCCGAGCTTTTATGTTTATGTAATTTTTCGTTTCCCTATCACAGGCCCTCAGGCCTTCTGAGAAGTGTTCTGTGTCTTCGGGGAAGGCCCAGGGAGCTCCTCAGAAGGGAGGAGGCCCATCCCTTCTCACTTCCCCCCGGGCTCGCGGCCGATTCGTTCGAGTACGATGTCGACTACGACATTGATTGATCCCAGAGTCGACATGTTCGCCGAATCGACCAACAAAAACAACGTGATACGTTTGTAGATCTACAAACGTTCCTATCATGTAGACTCGATGAGAGAAAAACAATGTTGAGATACATCAGTTGTATAGTCGATCTCCTATTCGGTCCGTAGAACAAGAGAAAAACGACCCCACCACCACAGGCGCGGGGAGCCAGGGCGAGTCCTCCAGGTTGTGCGGTCCCCCCTCTCCTCGCGCGAGGCCTCCTCGAGCCCTGGTTTAGCGGACCTCTTCGCTGGAGGTGTCACCCCCACGGGTGGTGTAGCGGCGTCTCCTTCCTCCGACCTTCGGGTGCCGCCTGACTTCTTCCTCAGGCTGGACCCGAGCTGGGATCGGACAGCTCCGTCGGGTGTGCCCAGGGAAGGCCCCCCGAACGAGCATCTCACGGACGTGTCCTTGGCCCAGGGGGGTCCCCCAGCGCCAGTGCCGACCTGAAGCCTCGGCGCCCCCTCCGCGCCTCGATTCGTGGGGCACTCCTTGGGGCCGCCCGAGGGCCTCCCTGCTAGCCCCCCGGCCTCCAGGAGGCAAACATCACTTCAGGCAAGCCGTGTCACAAGGATGCGCGGTAAGGAGGCAGGGGCATTGGAGGCCCGCGCGAACGTTTTTCGAACGAGGCTGGCCAGCGAACGCCGCCAAGGATGGGCCGAAGGGGCAAGGATGCAAGGATGCAACTTGGGAAGGTTGCCCATCCTTACTATGCGGGTGGACTGTAGTTGTGCGCAGACGTTTCAACACTGCCCGCGTTCTTGCTAGCTCGAGCCTGCGACAGCCGAAGACGGCACCACTCCAGACTCCAAGCCAGGTCCCACGATGGCCTCAGAAGCCCCCGGGAGGGCCAGGATCACCTCTGTCAGCGCCCGGCTCCTGGTCGAAGTGGGAGGTGTAGGTCTGGAACACGATGAGGGACGTGCACGTTGTCACCGCCATCATGCCGTTCGAGAGCGCAATGGCCTGCTCTGGGAAGGCCATGCCCGTGCTCAGGGCGGACGAGACCTCGACGTTCCTGTCGTCCGTGGGCGACGAGAACTTCTGCAGCAGGCCCACCTGGCAGTCTGCAGGCGGCCAGGCAGCCCAAGCGGGGACAGACACGGGCAGCCCTCTGGGACACGGGCGCGCGCCTGGAGCCACGGGCGCCATGCACGCGGTCACAGGCCAGCGCAACGTAATGCTGCGAGCCAGGAGCTCCTGCTCAGAGAAGTGCTCCTGTCCTGCCTTGCTCGCACTGGTGCTTTTGGCTTGGAATGGTTGGTCACACTGGTCTTGAACAGATCCGCCGCCGGACCGTCAGTTAGCCATGAGGGTGCCCCGAAGGCCCAGGCAGGCTTTCATGTTTACATTGTGGCAATGCAACAATGCAGCATCAGAGGCAAGCGTGTGGAACCTGAGCTTGTCACCTGAAGCTTGTCGTTGCAACCAGACCTAAGCCAGAAGGACATCCTCTAAGAACATGAGACCCTCCGCTGGCCAACACACAAAGAACATCCAAAGGTACCTTCCCCAGGATGCACAAAAACATTCAGCAACCACGAAAAACACCAGGGTACCCTCCCTGAACCGACCTCGATCTTCTACCGCGGTCCGACTGTAGCTATGAGGGGCGAGCCAGAGGGGGAAAGAGATAGAGATAGAGAGAAGCACAAGCGGGGGGAGCGGAGCGGAGGAGGAAACCTAGAATGGCACCAAACTGAAGTCCTGGGCGCTCTCAAATGGCCACAGGCGCTTTCAGGCGCTCCCGAAACGCTCGCTCTCCCACGTGCCGTCACTTGTCGCCACTCGCCGTCAGTTGTCGCCTCTTGTCGTGTCTCGTCGTTTCACTCGTCGTTGCTCGCTGCCGTCGTGGACACGCGAGCGCAATCGGCTCGGACTGGAGAAACCAATCATATGGAAACGGCGCAAGGGGAAACCAAAAGGTACCGATACCGCTACTCCCCGGACCTCTCCCAGGGTGCGCTCTGACCAGAATTTCGAATCGAATCCTGCGGTGGCGACGAGAGCCTCCCAGGAGGCCCACACAGGGGAAAGCGAGGGGAGGGTAGCGGTATGGATACCTTTTTCGCGTCTGGGTTCAGGGCGTGTGGGACCAACCAGCTGCTGGCAAGAAACTGAAGTACCCAAGGGGAGAGCCGCAACCAGTCGGTTTCGGGCACGTTGTTCGCAGGCGCTCCGCGCCTGCCCGCGCTCTCTCTCTCTGTGTTTTCTCTGCATCTGCATCTCTCTCTGTCTCTCTCTCTCTCTCTCTCTCTGTCTCTCTCTCTCTCTCTCTCTTTCTCTCATGTCCCCCTCTCTCTCTACCTCTCTTTGTCCCTCTCTCTCTCTCGTTCTCCTTCTCTCTCCCTCTCTGAATATCTCTATCTATATGTATAAATGCAGGTGTATACGCATATCTCTCTCTATATATGTGTATAGTTCTATATGTCTGACTCTCCTGCTCTCTGCCTGGTTTTCCCTATACAGAGGTGTATGTGTTTCCCTGTCGCGCCCAATGTGCCAATTCATACATGCTACTTCTTTGATCTGCTCTATGAATCAACTCGCTCTGCACTCTGTTCTAGACTATATGTATACATTCACTCGCGTTCTACTTTGTTGTACCTTTCTCTCGTTCCCTCCCTCGTCCCACCCAACTCTGCTCTGTACTCACGGCTAAGTGGTTATCCTCTCGTTTTCTCATGACCTTATCTTGCTGTGGCATGTGTATACGTGTGTCTTTGCAAATGCATGCATCCTGTATGCTTATAGGAGAAACATGTAGGTGCTTATATATATATATGTAATATGTATATATATACACATATATCCTCCCTGCTTCTCGCTCTCCCGCTTTCTATGTGCTTGCTGTCTTTTTGGCTTCTATAGAATGTGTGTAGCGCTATCAGGGCTTCAAGGTCTCTCGCTAGATGTACATATGCATAGTTACTGGGCTCTGTACATGTTCGCAGACGCACGCCCATATCGCATTCGCAGTCTAACTTTCTCTCTCTCTCTCTCTCTCTCACACTCTCTCTCTCTCAGATCCTGCAGGTACTTCTTCGTATATCTACTGATCTTCTCTCGTTGCAGGAACACCTGACACAGAACGGGAAACTCGGGAACCCAACCGACCATTCAGATCGGCCCTGAACCCAAAACTGGGAACGCGGGCACCCAGAATCGGGAGCCCGCGATCCTGGCCGCCTACCGAAATCGGCAAGGCTACCTTTACCTCATCTTTCAAAACGGTTCAGGCCCCCATTCAGTGCAAGCACCGGTTGCGGAAATGCCCCCCAAACCCTACAGCCAACCCGTGTCACAAGGACGCGCGATAAGGATGCAAGGGCCTTGGTAGGCCATGTCGAAGCTTTCGAGCGGGGCGCGGTCAACGAAAGTGGCCAAGGATGGACCGAGGAGGCAAGGATGCAAGGGAACCCTGGGGAAAACTGCCCATCCTTGTTGTGCGGGTTGACTGTGCCCCCCAAACCCTGCGTCGTCGATCCTCGGGGCCGCTTCTGGAGTGCCCAGCCTGGTTGCCGATGAAGAGGTCGCCCGCGCTGTCCATCACAGGCAGTGTCCACGAGGCGGCCTGAGGTCCCCAAGGAGGTCTCTGAGCAAGGCGAGGACAAGACCGGAACAACATCGGACCGGGACAGATCGGGGATCTCTGAGATCGGGCGGACGTGTTGGGTGCCGCGGCCGCTCCAGAGCTCTGCGAAAATTTCTGAGAACGCTCCGACATGGTCTGGAACGATACTTACCCCAGTCCTGGCTCCGCCCAGAGGCCCCAGGAGGCCTCTGGAAGCCCGGAAGGGTCGACGAAACTTTCAAGGCCGTGATCCTTGACGTCGTCGTCGACGCCGTCGTCGTCGGTCGTCATCCACGTCATCCCGATTCCCCTGGCCCTCTCCCAGGCAAGGGCGAGGTCTGGTTCCGCTCTTTGATCGCCCCGGGTCCCCGGAAGAAGGCCTCCCCACAGAGCCGAAAACGACGATAAACCATTCTCAAGGACGCACTGACCTGGGTCAATGCAAACCCGGGTCAGTCAGGCTGTGCGGGATCCTACAAGATCCTGCAAGATCCTGCACGCCAGCCCCCCGTCCCAAAATTCGACCACGCGCAAGAGTGGCCCTGGGTAAGAGGGACCTCTGGTGCGCGGCTTCTTTGGGGGGGCCGCGTGGGAACCAAACACGAGCGCGAAAGACGCTACGACCGCATCGCGTTCGGCGATCGGGGGACCCCAGCGGGCCCGCACCAAAGGTCACTCCGTTGCAAGGCCACTCTCACGTGCAGTCCCTTTCTCGAGCAGGGACCGACCGTCCCGGCATTCCTAAAATCCCACCACGACATGTTCTTCGAACCCAGAAATGTTCTAAGAACAAAAACAATGTTCTTAGAACATAAGCCCGATGCTATAAAACAAGACAGACTCCGCCAGAAATGTTCTAAGAACATGTCGTGGAAACAACAAAAGGGTCTTAGAACATTGTTTGGTGGGGCTATAGGCGAGCCAGGACGCTTCGCCACTGCTGGACTTTCGGCCCCGAACGTCACGAGCATGCCCGCGCCCGGCGTAAAGGCCGTCGGCGCTCCACGGCCCGCGGCGAGGCCGCGCGGAGCGCCCTCTCGCCGCCGCCTCGGCACGCCACGCTCCCTGTGCACCCGTGCTCTGCGCCCCTGCCAGCGAGCCCAACGATTGGGCGCGAATTGATGGGGAGAGACGAGCGGAGGGGAGGAGGAGGAGGAGGAGGAGGAGGAGGAGGAGGAGGAGGAGGAGGAGGAGGAGGAGGTGCCCTTCGCGGGCCCTGGAGGCCCCCTCTGGGACCCGACACGGGCCCGCTTCTTAGAGAGGCCCTGGCTCCGAAGGGCCTCCTTTCTCCAGCCCCCGCTGCCCCGCCGATGTGCCGCCCCCCCCCCCCGCCCCCACTTGTCGCGGCCCAGAGCGACGCACGAGCGCGGCCTCCGCGAGTCGTGCCTGCCCTTTTGCGGCGCTCTGCACTTGGCGGCGCACAAAAGGGGGGCCATGGGGGAGGGACGAAGGCTTCTTAGAAGCACCCTGCTTCTTAGAAGGCCCCGGCGCACTGCCGATGACAGGATCCGTCTCCGCTTTTTTTGTCGGGAGGTCGTCGTCGTCGTCGTCTTCGTCGTTGTTGTTGTTGTCGTCGTCGTCGTCTGGAACGCAGCCTGGCACGAGGTGCGCCCGCCCCCGATCCTCCGCACGTCCGCGGCCTCGACCTCACCTTGGGAGGGAAACCAACATACCTCGGGACGACTGTGACGTCTTCGTGGGAACGATTGCGGACTGGGAAGGTCCGATCGAGGGGCAGTCGAGATGGGATGAGCACAGACTGAGCCCAAAGCTGGGCGGGATTCGGCCGGATAAACCAGGACTACAAGCGGACATAAGCAGCAGCAGGACTATGCCGGATTAGGTTGGCTTTCGACCTCGGATGTACCAGCGCCGATGCTGTATATACAGTCGTGGCACTGCCAGAAGGAGCGCTGAAGAAGGAACGAAGAGGCTGCCCTGGCCGAGGCGAGCCTCGTCCGCGATTAGATTAACCCGACCTAGGCCTAAGGAACGGCCCGAAAATCAGAGCCCCTCCTGACTTCACAGTGATCCTTGTTCAAGCGCCTTGAGTGTAACCTCACAGGAAGCCCTCCTCCTCCTCCTCCTCCTCCTCCTCCTACACGCACCTCCTCCTCCTCCTCCTACTCCTCCTTCTCCTCCTCCTCCTCCTCCTCCTACTCGCAGCTGGCACGCGGCACAGAGCTCGCGCGGGGCGGCCAAGCCCGGGCGCGGAAGGAAGCTACTGCAACCGCTTCGTGCTCAGCGATCGGGGGGCCCTGCTGGGCCCGCGCCAAAGGTCATTCCTGCGACAGAGACTCGCACGTGCAGTACACCCCTGCTCCGAGTGAAGAACATTTTACGCCAGGAGTATGGGCATCACTCGAAACATGTACTTAACCAGTAGTCCGGGTCCAGATGCACGGAAGTTCCACGAACAAAAAGGGAGCTCCAAGATAACGCCCAGGGTCTATCCCAGGTTCTTGATTTTCTTCAGATGAATGTGGGATCCATGTGCGTTGCTGCTTTTTCTTACGAGTGCTGATGGGTGTGCACGCAGCTGGCACGCGGCTTAGAGCGCGCGCGGGGCGGCCAACCCTGGGAGTGAAAGCAAGCTACTGTCACCGCTCGCGCTCAGCAATCGGGGGGCCCTGTTGGGCCCGCGCCAAATGTCACCCCTGCGAGAGGACACTTTTTCGTGTAGTAGTAGGGGGCTCCTAGATGGGGTGCGAGTAAATGGGGTCGGAGGGTCGCGCCGCATCGGCGATACATCGGCGATGTATCGCCGAGCCATCAGCGATGCATGGGCCATGCATCGGCGCCGTCGGCGCGGAGAAGAACGGGCTCCACATCGAGCCGCATCAACGATGCATCGGTGATGCATCGGCGATGCGGCGCGACCCTCCGACCCCATCTGCTCGGACACCATCCGGGAGGCCTCGAGGTAGACCCCACGAAGACGACGACGAAGACCCAGACGACGACGACGACGACGACGACCACGACGACGACGATGACGACGACGACGAAGACGACGACCACGACCACGACCACGACCACGACCACGACGACGACGACGACGACGACGACGACGACGACGACGACGACGACGACGTCGGCCGCGCTCTTCGTGCCCGCGGCGGCCCTCCGAGGGCGCGTGCGGGCACTGGGAGCTGGCCACCGGGGGGAGAGGGGCGCCCAGAGGTCCGCGCGGAGGCGAGGCACGGGACGTCCTCCTCCCTCCTCCTCCTTCTCCTCCTCCTCCTCCTCCCTCCCTCCTCCTCCTCCTCCTCCTCCTCCTCCTCCTCCTCCTCCTCCTCCTCCTCCTCCTCCTCCTCCTCCCTCTCCTCCTCCTCCTCCTCCTCCTCCTCCTCCTCCTCCTCCTCCTCCTCCTCCTCCTCCTCCTCCTCCTCCTCCTCCTCCTCCTCCTCCTCCTCCTCCTCCTCCTCCTCCTCCTCCTCCTCCTCCTCCTCCTCCTCCTCCTCCTCCTCCTCCTCTCTCTCCTCCTCCTCCTCCTCCTCCTCCTCCTCCTCCTCCTCCTCCTCCTCCTCCTCCCTCCTCCTCCTCTCCTCCTCCTCCTCCTCCTCCTCCTCCTCCTCCTCCTCCTCCTCCTCCTCCTCCTCCTCCTCCTCCTCCTCCTCCTCCTCCTCCTCCTCCTCCTCCTCCTCCTCCCTCCTCCTCCTCCTCCTCCCTCCTCCTCCCCCTCCTCCTCCTCCCTCCTCCTCCTCCCTCCTCCCTCCCTCCTCCTCCTCCCTCCTCCTCCCTCCTCCTCCTCCTCCTCCCTCCTCCTCCTCCTCGGTCGCACCACGGCACAAGAGCGATGCCAGCGCGGCTGAAGGCCCCCCCCAGTGCAACCGTCCCCTGCCCACTCTTCGGAATTGCCTTCTAGCAGTGATGCAGCTCGGGCGAGGAGCAGGGAGCGGCGGCGGTTGGCGACTCGTGCGCCTCATGTCGTATAACCCACTCACCGCCGCGCCGCCAGGCAGATTGGCGGACGTCAACTCAGAGTACAGCAAGACTGACATCGTTGTGTTGCAGGGCATGGTTATGAAGGCGGCCAAGGGCGGAGATGTCTATGGGACTCCGACGCGTGGCCATCTATGTTTCACTCTGGTTACGGATTGAGCACGAATGCTGCCTGTGGTGTATCCATCGGTCTGCATTGCTATAGGTACAAGCCAATGTATGTCATCAGAGTGGTCGCGACAGGAGGCCGATTGCAAGGAAGAGGACCTATGATTCGTTATCGCAGAGGCCGCCAGGACTTTGCCGCCTTTTCAGTTTACTACCCTACTCGTGGCAAGGGCAAAGGGGCTGCAGCACAACAGAGGGCAGCTTCTGCAGAGCTCACGAGGTGGATAAACGAAGAATTGTGCAAGCTGCCCTCGCGATGTCTCCCCATCATCGGCACCGTCCTAAATAGCACGTGCGCAGCCGACCTCTCGGAACCCAGAATTACAGGATCTTGCGAGACGGACAGGGATGGAGTCAAATTTGGCATTCGACGCCCTCTGACGAAAGCCCATGAGATGGCGTTGTGCAACAAGTGTTTCGATGCAGGGTTGACGTACTATGGGGTAGACAGCAGCATTCGCAGGCGCATTGACTACATCATTCTGCCTAGTGCCATGATGGAGAACTTCCAACAGTGCATGGTATCGTGGAGAAAGGGGAAAAGACTTCAGCACATACGATGCGTGGCGCCGAAGGACCATTACCCAGTACCGTTGGTGGTATACTATTATTTCGAGCACGTGCATGCAGGACCACAAGGGGCTCGAGTCAACATGGAGGCTTGCCACGCTATGATTCTTTACGGACACCGCCGAGAAGAGTTAATGAAGAGAGTGGATGATGCATTGGAGCAGCACATGAATGACTTTGAACAGTGGGAATATGAAGGCAGCGTTGATCATATCAATGCAGGCCTCATGCAATGCATCAACGGAGACGCCACCACTTTGCTGACCCAGCCGCCAGGCTACACGAAGAAGAATGCGGAGACCTTCAACAACAGCACCACCATAGCACACCTTCTTCAGGAGCGTCGCGAAGCCAAGGAGAAGGAGACCAACACAGACGACCTCAATATGTAGATGTACAGGCCTAGCCGCCAACTCAAGCGAAGAAAGGAAGATATGCAAGCCACTCGCATGAAGGAAAGAGCGGAAGCGCTCTGGGACGCTTGGCACCAACACAGGTTCTGCGACGCGCACAAGCTATCCAGACTTATTGCAGGCACGTGTCGAGGACCGCGAGGGCGACACTACGGCAAGGTGCCCACATCTCGAGCTTCAGCCTTGGAGCGGATCAGCAAGCTCCAGAGGCAAGGAGCTACAGGAGGCGCCGCGGCTCGGGTCCTTCACAGATGTCGGACTCCACAAGTGGCGACAGGCTTCTGGCGGTGCCTGTTTCCTGACGGACGAAGGCAACACCGAATCCATCACCTCCAATCGCATCTTGACTGGACACTGAGCCAGAGGAGCAGATTGACTACCAACCGGCACATGAACAACCACTTGGGGATGTTGCAGATCTGAGGCGAACGTTCAAGAAACTTCCGTCTTGGCGATACGCCGACATTGAGCGCATCGGGAGATATTCTACGCGTGCGGGCCGCCCCGAACTGGTACTACCGACCATCCCGCAGATGTGGGCTCCGCAGTGTGCAGGATGGCAACATGACCGACTCGACTCACAATGACACCGATGATCAAGCTTCTGACCCGGTTTCAATGAGCAGGCTGGCGGATGCTGTCTTTAATGGCGACCCTTCCCTAAGGGACACACCCACTGAAGCTGCGGATATCAGAGCCTCTGTGTCTTCGGAGAACCCACATGGACATCAACGACAACATGCAGGATACTTGGGCCATGGTGACAGAGCAGAACACTTACTTTCTGATAGAGGAGTGCTTACAGGACTTGCCAGGAGTAGCGCGATGACCCTTCAAAATGAAACTGGAGAGCCAACAGGAGCACAACATCAAGATGGGTTTGACCAAAGGGATCTCCTACCTGACAAGGAGGCAGACGAACTGGGCGCTCATTCTCCTGCTCTCTCGGCGCCTCTTGAACAATGTCTGCTCCAATTGTGTCGCACCATGAGACAAGTGGGACGAGCACCTGCACATTGGCATCAGGCTCAGTATTGTCGATTGCCGGAACACAATGACAAGGTGACCACAGATGGGAAACGGCCGATCATGATTTTCTGTGGGCTTAGGCGCTCATTCTTCAGATCGGTCATGGACAACAGAAAAAGATCTCCATACCGGGCGCATGGAGGCATCCCTCGGGGACGGCGAGAAGACGCCATGATAGTACAGATGTGCGGCTCAGCCAAGTTGAGACGAGCTGGAATACATCGCATCACTCGGTTTCATGACGCCAGTAACGCATTATAATGCATTCACATACCTGTCGCTGAGAACGCTGCTGATGAGTTAGCTCGTGAGAATCGAGCGGGCATGTTCTATCAGCGTATCCAGAACAACACTTTCACGATTGACGACGGAGTGTGCAGTGGACATCTGGCCAACCAGAGCGGAGTTGTCAAGGCGTATGACTCGAGCGTCCAGAAGATGATAGACATCATGAACGGGGATCCGTGGCAGGGTGCACTACACACTACACTGCCGACTCCACTGAGAGCAGAGTTCGACACCAGCCATGTCGCCCTCGCCACGTCGGTCTTTGTGGATGACGTGGCTCGCAAGGTCGTGGGTGCGAGCGCATGGCACCTGTCCGTCGTCGCCCATTGGGCAAGCATCATGTTTGACAACATCCTTCAAGACATCGGAGGGGCCCAAAACATCAGGAAACAAATGAACATCGTCCAGGGAGCAGGTAAGACCGCAGGGGCCCTCAACGGGAACTTCCATGAGCACAAGATCCCCTCGAAGGTTCGGTCTTGGCTGAGGCCAGGTCTCCTGGAGGCCGTCAACGTTTCAACAACGGGTTCTCGGCTGAGAAGAAATACAGAATGCAGGCCCTCAAGACGGCCTGGAACAAGATGTGGAAGTTCTGGACCACCCCCAAGATCTCCATGAGGTCTAAGGGCAAAGTCTTCTCGGGGCTCGTCCTCCACGCGGCGCTCGCGGGCCCAGAGGCCTTCGTGTTGAACATGCGCAGCCCCATCACAGAGCAGTACAGTGCCTCCCTTCAACAGGTCGTCTTCAAGTTTGCGAGAGTCGCTCTCAGAGGCCGTCACACTGCCAGACAGCAAGAGAGGATACGAGCTCCGTCGAACCAGGAGGTGCAGAAACACCTCATGATGGGCACGTTGTTCACAGAGCTGCGCATCAGGAGGTTGAAGTGGCTTCAGGACATCACTTGACACCAGAGAGACCATGAGCAGGTGATAGCATCCCTCGTAGGTCGGTGAGAGTGCGAGCGACGTAATTCATAGGTTGACGAAAATGGTAGACTCCTCCCCGCGGCCAATGCTTGGCTGTAGCAGCGGTGGCAGGGTATCCAAGCGCTCCATGGTAACTCAGAGGAACACGAGCTGCTTGAAACTCCGGAGTAATCCTTTTTGAATATATTTGTTTGTGAGGATGTCATGGGGACGTCAGGGGGGAGTTTTTAACATCGATATGTCTGAGCTGAGATCGCGGGAGTTGTCGAGGTCCGTTGCCACCCCGCCCGTGGTCTCCTGAGGCGGGTGGTGTTGGGGGGACGTCCACCCCGTTGTTGCCTGAGCCCAGGCCTCAGTCCAATGTCGACTGCCCAGTCTGTGCTGAACAATTCCCCGACTACACGAGTATGGCTTCACACTGGATTCGAGTGTGTGCGCGAGGGCGTGATGATACCGAAGCCATCTTGAGGCAGGTCTGTGCCACGGGCCGCAGTCCCTTCGTCGCCACTCGTTCGACGTATTGCATTGTGTGTCAGCGCATTTTTGCTGACAAGGCCACGGCGCAGTGCCACCTAGCTGCGGCCATCCGCCACCGCAGGCGTGTTTCAGATTTCTCCGCCAGTGGTCGCAATAGAATACCACACAAGGTTGTTGATCGTCCGCTGTGCCGCTTCACTGCTCAGAATCCTGATGTGCTCGACCGGCACGTAGCAAATTCTCACAATCTGCCAAAAATCGAGAACCACGTCATCACCTTAGATGTCGAAGTGGCTGGCCTCGGCCGAGAACACAGAGGAGGACAATGCCCCGAGCACCACGAAGGCCACGGGCAGCGGCAAGGCAGGGGAGTCTCAAGAGAAGCGCCTGCTGCTGCAGCTGGCGGCTCGCATACGAGAGCGGGAAGCATCAGACATCCACTTCAAGGGCCCCGCGGGCCACCTTGTTCTTTGGCCATGAAGGAGGCGACGACCAAGCACGAGGGCCTCGTCAAGGAGGCAGGCTCAGGGCACGGGTACGGATCTCCTCATCTTCACGCGGCCGCAGCCATGCTCAGCAGCTTGCGAATTCCTCCACGGGGGGCTAGCACGACGACATCCAGTGCATCCTCCTAGCACTCAAGCGACTGGACGCCGCCAGAACGGAGCCCTCTCCCTCGGACCTCGGAGGCTGGTGCGTGACGTGCAGGGCCACAGAGATTCAGGCCACAGCAGGAACCAATCCGTCGGCCAGGTTGTCCTGCCACTTCGAGGGCCACTGGCCCGTCGCCATCACACTGGAGCAGGAAGCCGAGATCGCCAAGCACACATATCGTCCCCTCGGGCTCAACACCAAGCATGGCTTCACCCTCGTGGCAATGAATCGCTTGGTCTCGCTGTGCATGCGCGCGGTCGGGATTCAGAAGTAGCCAGGGAAGGCACCGCTCGGGGGGCTAGCCTACGCGATGAAGCAGAAGTGAGCCACAGAGAACACATGAGTAGCGGGAGTGAGCAGCATACAGTGAGCAGTAGGAATAGGATAGCCGAACCTAGCAGAGCAGACAGCATATTGAACCAAGTTGTAATCCCCTCATTTCCCTCCCCCTCCCCTCGGTCCTCGTCCGCTCCTCCCCTTGCCTTCCTCCGCTCCCTCAGCACGAGACCTTGGGAAGATAGGCTGGAAGCCCTCCATCGGCGTATCAGAATGCGGGAACAGGCCCGCAACCAGTTTTGAGACACCCCCGCGCCGTGGTGTCACCGCTTGCGCTGCGCGCGCTTCAGCGGCGGCTCCAGGCCTTGCGCTCCTTTCAATGATTCAAAGGCCCCCTGGACACTCCCCGGCTCTGCGGTGCCCTGCAAGACGATGGCTTTGGCTAGCTGGATTGCGACTCCGATACGGATCGACTCCTCCTTCTCCTCCTCCTCCTCCTCCTCCTCCTCCTCCTCCTCCTCCTCCTCAATCCCTCCCTCCCTCCCGCCTCCCTCCCGCCTCCCTCCCGCCTCCCTCCCTCACTCTCCCCCCCCCTCTTCTCCTGGGCCCGCCACCACCACCTGGCCGCCGTGCCCTGGGCCTTCGCCCCCCCTGCGGCGGGACAAGCAGCAGGAGCTCGACCACGAGAATTAAGTCGGGCGTGTCCCCATACAGGAGGATTTGGGGCGCAAAATAGAGCATACTAGCAAAAACGCCTCCCGCATTGGCAAAACTAGACAAAAGATCGTCCCCATACGATTTGTTGACTATGTTTGACTTTTTCTCCTGTAGAGGGACAGGCCCGACTTAACACGAGAAACGGTTCACAAGAAACCCAACCCCGAGACCCCAGGAAGTCCATTGATTACGGTGGGGGGATTGGAGGAGGAAACCTTGGATCAGGAATCGAGGGTCTGGAAGCTTTGGAACTCCAATCGAAGTTTGGCCATGGATGTCAGCGCCGCCCTCATCAGAGAGGGAATCCTCCAGGGTCTGTCGCCTCCTGGGACTATTTCTTAACGAACGCCTCCACCGTATTTAGTGTGGGAGCGTCGCGCCTCACATAGCAAGACTATCGAGACCCAAGAAACCCAGGGTACTTGGAGGCAAACAGGGTGCTTCTTGGCTTAAATTCCCACTGCAGAGCAGAAGAACACCCTTCAAGAACACGAGACCCTCTGCCGGCCAGACTGAAGAACGTTCGAGGGTAACCTCCCCGAGGTTGCACAAGACCATCCAGCAAACACGAGGAACATTAGGGTCACCTCCCTGGACCTACCTTGATTTTCTGCCTCGGTCCGACCGTAAGTCGAGTCGGGATCGGATCGGCGGAAATCGGAAGACGAGTCGGGAGACGTCGAATCGGCGAAAATGGGCAGGCCAGTAGGACTCCATTGAGAAGTCGAAGCCCAAACCGGAATCCGAGGTCCAATCGAATCTGAATCGGAAGCCATCGAATCGAATCGAATCGAATCTGAGGTGTCGCGATGAGCCTTGGTCGATCGACGACCGACGACGGACGCCGGCGACAACGCCCTCAGGGTCTTTGGCAGCCTCTTGGCCCGAGAGATCAGGGCCTCTGGATGCCTCCCTTCTGAGCCCAGGGGCCTCCAGAGACCTGAGACCTCACGAGTCCTTCAGATGACGACGTCGGAGGCGACGACCGAAAAATAAGCATGGCCACCCTGTTTGGGCGGCGAGCGAGGGGGGAAGTGAGAAGGAGGAGGTCTTACCAGAAGGCGGCGGGGCTTCTCGGAAGCCCTCCCGCCTCCCGAGATGTTCCGGGTTCGGAAAGCTTTGAAAACTTCTTAGACGGCCGGAGGCCTTCCGAGCCTTCTGAGAAGGCCTGCCCCTTCTCATTTCGGGGGGGGCGAAAGGGCTCTATATCAAAGGGCAGGGTAGAGAATCAGCTCACCTAGCTGGTTTTCCTGGCGCCTCCTGACGCCGGGAGGAGTCCATGTATCGAGGAATTGGCCCAGCGGCGGGGCGGAAACGAGCTGCATGCAGCGGATTTCGTACCCTCCTCTTTCCCTATCCTACCTGTTCGTCCAGCCCGAATCAAGGTTTCAAGGTGACCCCGCCTGATGGCTCCAACAAGCGACAATCACATTCATATGCGTATAGTATATAAGCACAAAGACTGCATTATTGAGCGTTCTCGCCTGTTCGGGCTCTAGGAAGCCAAAGATGGCACCAGAGGCTCCCAAGATCGCCCGAAGACGGTCAAAAAGAGTCCCCCGAAAGACCCCCGGCTGAAAAGGCCTTAAACATAGTCCCAGGAAGTGAGGGGGCCTTTTAAGCCCCTCCCCTCAACATTGCCCCCAATACAGTGGAACCTAGAACAGAATAAGACCCCTCAAGAACACGAGACCCTCCGCTGGCCAAAACGCACAGAACACCCAAGGGTACCCTCCCCAGGGTGCACAAGAACGTCCAACAAACGCGAAAAACATTAAGACACCCTCCCCGAACCGACCTCGATCTCATACGTCGGTCCGACTGTACCCCAAACATGCCCCGAATAGCTCCCAAGAAGCGCCCAAAATGACCCAACATGTCCCCAGGATGCCTCCAGGTTGTCTCCAAGAGACTCCCAAGAGGGCCTCAAGCTCCAAGCTGTCCCCGAAAAGCATACCAAGAGACTACAATGGGCATCTAAGTGACTTCTGGCCCATGACCCAGGTATGGTGGCAGGGCGGGCCGAAGGCCACTAGGGAAGAGGAGGGGAAGGAGTCGGGGTCTGCCCAGAGAGGGGAGTCCTCTTGTGATGTGTTCTTTCCCATCGCCTGCGCAATCGGAAGTCCATAGCGTCGGCCCTTGCCAATCAAGTCGTACCGAGCCACCAGGGTCGATTATCCACAAATTGCTTTTGGAGCTGTAGCGGCAATTGAAGCCCATAGTCAAGACTATGCGATAATGCATCTGCTGGAACCGCATGTGCCCGCTGGCAGCACCTGCCGGCGGCTCGGGCGTCGTGAGCGTCCACAATGTGTTCCCACTCCTCGTGTCGATTGTCTTGATGTAGCCCCCGGAGCCCGGCCCTGCAGAACACTGGGGCAAAATCCCTGGAGAGCCGTGAGGGTTGCAGTAGTCGCCAATATCATACTCTTGAAGACCGAGCGCGTAGAACTGGTTCACAGGACTAGCTAAATGACCAGCCGCTTGTGTGTAAGTACCCCGAGTGCCCTTGTTATGCCACGCAAGGGCTCCAGACAAGACATTCAAGGAGTACGCACCGCCTTCGAAGTCAGTGAAAAAGCATTGACCACCGTCGAAGTATGGAACGAAATTCCAAACTGGTGTCTCTGGCGTGAAAGCCCAGACCTGGCTTCCATCGGCAGCGTCCAGCCCCCGGATAATTGTGTTCGAAGGCGACAAGGAATTGGTAATGTTACGGTACTTGTAGCAATATCTGTTTATGCAAAGGTCGGTTGCAGCAACGATGACACCGCTGTCACCTTTGACAGACCCCTTGACTCCAGCTATCTTATCTGAGACCTTTGTCGCCCACAGCTCCTCGCCAGTGGCAGGTGCAAGCGCAAACACGTAACCATTTGTGGTAGAGGCCACCATCATGTCTGGAAGCAGAGTGCCCCTTTGCTTCAACAACATGAACCTTTTTACCAACATCGTCTGCCGCGTTACGCTCAGATAGCCAGTTCTCGGCCATCTAATGTACACCTTGCTCTCGCCGTTATCTCTCTTGATGTTGGAAACCCTGCCCGTGTCGCCAGCCTTGAAGTATTCGACGCCGTCCGCATGGTACCCCATGCCAGTGCGCACCCTGATCCGGTCCCCAACCTTTGGCTGACAGAAACAAACCAGCCTGCCTCGGGGTGTCCAAGAGGGAGGTGTTCAAGAGGGGGGTTCGCAAATCGTCCCCGAGGCACGTGTGCGGCTCGGGGGGGGGGCCAACGCGGCGAGGGAGCCATGAACGCAGGGGAGATGTCATGGCCTCGGCCATGACACGGCCCGACCTAGAATAGAAGAACATTCTTCAAGAACACGAGGCCCTTCGCAGGCCAAACTGAAGAGCATTCGAGGGCACCCTACCCCAGGATGCACAAAACCATCCAACAAGCAACAAAACAAATCAGGATACCCTCCCCGATCCGACATCGACCTGATACCTCGGTCCGACTGGTCATCACCCCCCTGGTGTATGCCCCAGGTCTGTGTCCCAGGTGGATCGAGGACTGCGGGGAAGGCAGGGTAGAGGAGGGTCCCAACTGCGTCTGCCCCCCGGACGACACCCGTCCTCTGCACCCTCCCCTCCCCTCCCCTCCCCTCCCCTACTCCGTCCTCCTCCGTTCTCTTTCTCCTGCTCGTCTTGCTCCTGCTCCTGCTCCTTGCACGTAACTCGGAACAGGTTTATAGTCGCTTACGCTCAATCGCCCTGCTGCTGTAAGACCTGCACTCTGGCTGCTCTGCCATGCTGTCCAACCGCAGTCTGATCTACCCTCGCCTGTCTCCGAATAGCGTTATACAGTTGGAAGCAGATCACCAATCGCTGCACCGCCAGCCTCGGGGCCAAAGCGGGTCGAGCTAGATAAACCAACTTATTCTGCTTGGAGCGATCCCCACCGAAACCTTAAGCGTTTGTTCCCGACGGTGCGCGGTCGCCTACTTGGTAGACAATTGCCGTTTCTGGATTCCAAAGCGGTTCAACTGTTTCAATGTAGTCACGTTCTTTCTGTCTCGACGGGCCGGCGAGACGCCTGTGGCATTAGATGCGTCGTCTGTCATGATGTTCCTCATCACTCATACGTTTCTCTTATGAGTGGATCTGTCATGGTATGAATCTCTGCCACCATGCGATTTGAGAAATTATGGTATGACCTGCTCTGTGGCACTATGCTACGGATGTTATAGTATGCTCTGTTCCGTGATGCTGTTGGCAGCTCGGCTGAGTATAGTAACTAGTACGATGTGATCTGCTAGTGTGTTTCGTTATGCTTTGCTGTCATGGTATCAAATGTGATGTGATGCTGTCATGGTAAGCTCTGATATAGTATGTCAGGATGTGCCATGTCATGCTCGGATGTGTTCTAGTATACTGTGTTATGTCGTCTTCTGCTCTGTCATGTTATGTTCTAGTATGTTATGTGTTGTTATGTGTGTTCACGGCTCGGCTCTGCATAGTATAGTTTGGTCTGCTCTGCTAGTATGTTTCGCGGTACTATGCTGTCGTGTCATGGTATGTTATGTGATGCTGCGGCATGCCATGGTATGGACTGCCAATGTGTGTTATGGTCCGTTCGGTTATGTCCTGTTATGGTGTGCTCTGGCGTAGTATGTTCTGTCATGTTCCGCTCTTGCATGCTCGGTGATGATATAGTATGCCGTAGTGTGCCATGCCATTGCTATGTTCTGCTCTGCCATGTTCTGTCATGCTCGTGATATGTTATGTCATGTTCCGTGATGTCATATGGTGTTCAATCGTGTTCGTCGTCGCTCTGCTCTTCTGTCAGTGTATGATATGTTATGTGATGCAGTGTCGTGGTATGAACTGTTATGTCAAGACGTGTTATGTTATGCTCGGTGCTGTTATATTATGGTGTGTTCTGTCGTCGTCTGGTCTGTCATGTTCTGCACTGGTACGTTATGTGCTGGTATGTGTGTTGACGGCTCGACTCTGCATGGGTCTGCTCTGCCAGTATGTAGCGCTATGCCCTGCTGTCGTGTCATGGTATGCTCTGCGATGCTATCATGGTATGAGATGCTCTGCTAAGGTGTGTTATTGTTAGCTCGGCTTTGTTATGGTATGTATGGTATGTAGTGCTCTGCAATATTCTGCTATGTCATGCTCTGCTCTGGTAAATTCATTGATGTTATGGTATTATCTACGTTGTCATGGCATTGGTATGCTCTGCTCAGTGATGTCTGTCATGCTCATGTTCTGTTCTGTCATGTTCTGTCATGTTGTGCTCTGTCGTGTTCGTCGTCGCTATGAACTGCTGCCGTGTCATGATATGTTATGTGATGGAGCAGCATGGTATAATATGTTATGCCAAGGTGTGCTATGTTACGATCGGTTATGGTATGGCATGTTGTGTTATGCCGTCGTCTGTTATGTCATGTTCTGCTCTGGTATGGAATGTTATGTTATGTTAGTCTCTAATGTGTCATGATCTTGCTATGTTATGTTATGTCATGTTATGGCATGATCGTCTTCTGCTCCGTCATGTCATTATGTGTCATTTTATGTTATGTCGTGTTCGTCGTCGCTGTGCTCTGCTGTCGTGTCATGGTATGTTATCTGACGCTGTGTCATGATATGATGTGTTATGCCAAGGGGTGCCATGCTATATTTGGTTTTCCTATGCTATAGTGTGTTATATCGTCTTCTGTTATGTCATGCTCTGCCCTGGTATGTTCAATGATATGTTGTTACGCTCTATTGTGTCATGATAGTGATGTGTTATGTTCTGTCATGTTCTTCCGTGCGTTGTTTCTTTCTGTCATGTTCTGTTCTGTCATGTTGTGTTCGGTCGTGTTCGTCGAGGGTGCGAGGCAGGATGCCAGGGATTCTCGGGGATCATCGGGACAACTCCGGGTCTGGCGGCCGCGGTATGCAAGGTGGGGTTGGCTGGGCGCGAAGCGGGATACCCGGGACTCTTGGGGATCATCCGGACAATTTGAAGTCTTGAGGCCGCGGTAAGCAGGGTTGGGTTGGCCGGGGGAGCTGTTCTTGAAACCTAACAGCCCCAACCTGTCGTGTGGGGAATATCAGACAGATGGGGTCCAGGGCTTTGGTCGGGTTTTGCGGCAATGTTGCGATTTCTCATGACGTTAGATCTCAGAGTGCTGCTCCACTCTCTTCCTTCGGCCCCTTTGCGTGCCCTCGGGTGTGCTTTGGTCAGGGTTCCGAAGGGAGTCCGACCGCGGGGGCGAGAACCTTCCAGCAGTCAGATCGACTGACCCGGGTCAACACACACACACACACACACGGGCCAGTCAGGCTTTGCAGGATCCTGCAAGATCCTGCAGGATCTTGCGCGCAAGTCTGGGTCAGAGCAGCCCTGGCTCTGCAGGATCCTGCAAGATCCAGCGCTCTGGCTGACCCCCGTTTGCATTGACCGCCGTCCCTTGAATCGACCACACCCAAGGGCGACCTTGGTTAAAAGTGACCATTGGTTCGCGGCTTTTTGGGAGTCGCGGGGGAACCAAATACTGTCGTGCAAGACGCTACTACCGTATCGCGCTTGGCGATCGGAAGACCCTTTGGGCCCGCACCTAAGGTCACTCCTGCGAAAGGTCACTCGATTAAAGTTCTGTTGTTTTGACGTAGCAATATAAAGGTGCAAAAAACAAGGTGCAACACTTTGTTGTTGTTGCACCTTGGGCTATTTGCATCTTGATATTGCCAAGGCAGAACAAGGGCTCCCGAAACGATCCTAGCAAAGGCAAACTGGGCCCAGAGACCTCGATCGCCGTCCTCATCCCGAGGCCCCCTCTCCTCCCTCCCGGCTGGCGGGAGAGGATGCGGAGCATGAGGAGCAGAAGGGGGACCGTACATGGACACTACATTCAAATCCTGCTGCGCAAGATACCCCCCCTGACCCCCAAACTGAATATTAAAACTGCAATGGGGACGGCGTGGATGGATAGAAATATTCGACCCCCCAAACCACCACCCATGCTAGAATCAACAATGATTTCGGGAGCGGGGAAGTGATGAGCATCCCCCTCAAGTGTGTGAGGGTTCCATGTGCTGGAGGACGAGGAATAAACGGAGGATGCGGACATGGAGGGGCAGGAGGACGATACAGATCGGGTGAAGATAAATCGAGAATCTCTGAGATCCGCCAGCTCTGGAGGATGGCTCGGGTGCCGCAGCCTTCACAGAGCATTCAGGAACGCTTTGAGAGCTTTCCCGAACGCTCTGTAACGGATTTATCCTCGTCCTAGCCTTGCCCGGGAAGAGGAGAGCTCGACAAGGCGTCGGGGCAGCGCAACGTCACGATCGGCAAGAGGCCGGGCGCGATCCACGACGGCAACAAATTACGAACTCCACACGCTCGAAGACCGCTTCCTACTCCCGCAGCAGAATTGGTGCGTCTGGCTGCGAGACGTACTCGTGGTCGAAGAAGATCCCTGTCCCGTGCTACTGCGGGGCGAAGGACGACGTGGCACGGGTCACCGTCCAAACCGAGAGGACGCTGCCATCGAGCATTTGAAGGACAAGCTCAAGAGGCACCTCTCGGGCGACCCGCTGAACCACGCGACGAAGTACCTGGACCAGATCATCGTGCACAACTATGGGCGGTGCGGCTGGCGCCCCCAGAAGTCGGACATCCTGCGCTACAGCCCATTCCCAACTGGTGGCGACACGGTCCTCGCGAGGGTCCGGGATGCCAAGGGCACCATCGTACCAGCCGGCTACCTTCAGGAGGACGAGAAGACAAAGCCGACACTCTACAGGGTGGTGAACGGCACCTTCGTGTGGCCGTCGCCGAATGATGGTGGAACTATCGGGGGCTTCAACGGGCCTGCCTTCGGCGACGTGATCTACTGTAAGGGGCCTCCAGAAGAGGACAAGGCAAGAATAGTTCGCGCTCGAGGTCCCTCTCATGGACCCGCCCGAGAAACGGAGTGCGCGGAGTCGCCGACTGTACGTACATGACCAAATTGAGAAATACCCATACTACCATTGCTTCCAACTGCCGCTGCGATCATCCTCTCCCCATTACGGCTGAAGTTCACATCTGACATCTAGAAAGACGTTTCGCTTTGTAGGCACCGTACTACAACAGGACATACCTCAACATGTTCTAGCACACGAGCGAGCACATGAGCAC